TTTGGTGTGAGGCCAGAAAAATACAAAAAAAAAAAAAAAAAAAAAAAAAAAAAAAAAAAAAAAAAAAAAAACTCTCAAAAAAAAGTTGTAGAAAAATTAATATTTGCAAGTATCATGCAGATAACATTTTCTCAACTAAAATAGGATTACAGTATTGTATATCATTTAAAAACTAGTGGGAAGACCAGCAGATGGTGTATTGGTTACATTGCTGAACTCCCACATAGTCGACCATGGTTCAAGTCCCAGACTCAGTGGCTTAAACTGAGCCTGGCACGCGTGTGTGTGTGTGCCCAAAATCCCTAGAAGAGAATGGAGAAAGGATTGCAGCAGGGTCAACCCCCCCTAGGGGGTGATTTCTCACTTTCTGTCTCTCTGTTGAGCACTCAGGCCCTATAGCAAAAATCTCTTAAGGGACTAGCAGTTGGTGTAATGGCTATGTTGCTGGACTCCCATGTAGTCGACCACAGTTCAAGTCCCGGACCCGGTGGCTTAAACTCATGCCAGGCACATGCGTGCCCAAGATCTTGAGGATAATTGAGGAGAAGGGATTGCAGCGTGGCCATCCCCTCGGGGGGGGCGGTAATTTCGCACTTTCTGTCTCTGTCTCTCTCTGTCTTTCTGGCAAGTACATATGCCCTATAGCCAGAAAACAACAAACCCAACTCTCTTAAAAATTAGTAAAAATAAATAAAAACTGATGGGTTCTATTTGACTGTTCAACTGTTGCTATTTGTGAAGAGTACTGCTCTTGCTTCAGAGACTACATAGGTGATCCCCATTTACCTAGTGGAGATCTTTTTGGGGATTTTCTTTAACTATGTCATCCAACCCAGGATTTCCATGTGTGGAAGGTGATGTAGTGATGGCATGTTACCACGTTGGAGTGTAGGGTTTCAGGTCAGCCATCAGCACCACTAAAATCAAGCATGTGTAATAAATTTCTGCCTGGCCAAATTATTTCTCTTGAGCCATATGGCCCTATTTTTCTCATTTATTTTATTATTGAAGGTTGATGTCAAAGATAAATATGGTGGAACATGTGGATTTATAAGAAAAAGGTATTTTCTGAAAGGAATAGAAAACAAACGTAACATCCCTGAGGCTCTAGTTGATAGGATATAGTACCCTGTAATTGGCCAAGAAGTCAAACAGTTATTCTTAAATTACTAAGTTGGCAGTATTTGTGGGGTTTCTTAGTGATCCTTTTAGGACGATATTTTAATGGAAATACGTTAGACGTATATTTTGTTATTTTTTGCTGTTGTTTTTGTCTGCTGCTATTGTAAGCCTTAAACCTACCTCCTTTCAAATAGAATACTCAGAGTATGTGGAGTTGGCATAGCCATCTGTTGATTTTCATTGCAGTTTTGGACATGCACTGTCCATTTCATTACGTGTTTTGTCCTGACCTGAATCGCTTTGTTCTCATATTTGGGGGTAAAGCTAGGAAAAGACAACTTAACAATGTTTATATTTATTTCATTGGCTAAAAATTGATCTAAAAGAGGATCATTGCTGCCCCCTGAATAAAATGGTTGTATCTGGCTGGGAGGACTCATCATTAGCAATGTGAGGTTAATAAAATATTTCATTCTTACACAGGAAACCATTGTACATGTTATAAAAATGGTTTGGAGGAACATACTGCCATTGGATTCAGATAGTTGCCAGCTATCGGTGGGGCTCCATGGATGTTATCACACAATGCAAAGTGTTAGATCTTGGGCATGTGTGTGCTCACATTCATTACCTGCCGTGCTCATTATCTTCTCTCCACAGGATGCTGGAGGTCAACAGATTGGCTTCTTGCTAGGAAGCTGTGGCATTGCCTTAGCTCTTACCAGTGAAGTTTGTCTAAAAGGACTGCCAAAAACCCAGAATGGAGAAATTGTACAATTTAAAGGTTAGTGATATTTGTACCTAACTTAGCAGTTAAACATTAAAATTGAGTGCTTTAGCTAGTGTTTTAGTAATAGCTAACTAAGTACCTTACATATATTTTCTTATTTAATTCTCACAATCTTACAAAGAAGGTACCATTGTTATCCCCATTTTACAGGTGAGAAAACTGAGAAACAGAGAGGTTAAGTAACTTACCCAAAGTCACAGCTAATAAATGGCAGAGCAGCGATTTGAACCCAAATCTGTCTGATTCCACAGCCCACACCCTTAACCTTTATGCTGATGGTTGGAAAAAGCTACCACTCTGTACATTAAAGCTAAATGCTACATGTAGAGAGAGAGGATAGACCACTAACCTCAGTGGACTTCCACTGCCAAATGGACCTCCTCATTGTTGAGGTAATGTCAAGGCCTGGAATTAGCATGTGGAACGATTGTACTTTTTAAAGAAGGTATGATTGTTGGGTGACTTGTCACACAAAACTTGTTTATTATGAAAAGGTCTTTATTTGCTCTCTTATTTGAAACGACCGATTCACTGTGAACTCCTTCACTGATGGCTTAGGCAATTCAATTTTTACTTTGGGTTTGATTTAGGTTGGCCCCGGCTCAAATGGGTTGTAACAGATTCCAAGTACCTTTCAAAGCCACCTAAAGACTGGCAACCCCACATCTCACCTGCTGGTACAGAACCAGCATACATTGAGGTAAGTTTTAAGATTTAAAACATTCTTTTTGGCTTCAGTTGCCATCATAAGAAATATAAAACTAACTTTTTGTGGTTTTAATGTTAGAAGATCCTGTTGCTCTCTGAGGTTTCTATCTTTTGGCTTATAAAATGCTTCATGGTGGATCTTTTAAAAAAAAAAATTATTTTGGGACCAGTAGTTGGCATAATGGCTATGTCACTTGACTCCCATGTAGTCGACCATGGTTCGAGTCCCTGACCTGGCGGCTTAAACTTATGCCGGGCGCATGTGTGTGCATGCCCGAGATCCCGAGAGAAGCGATTGCATCATGGCCATTCCCCCTGGGGGGTGGTTTCTTGCTTTCTGTCTTTCTGGTGAGAGCATGTGCCCTACAGCAGAAAACTTCTCCAAAAACAAACAAACAAACAAAAACCTACTTTATAGTCAAGGAGACTAAGACTTAAAAGAACTCAAATAATGACCAAGAGCCTCATGACTCAAAAATGGCAAAGCTGGGACTCAGACTTAGGTCTGTTTGTCCTGAAGGTTATCCCCTTCACTACTCTGCATCCTGCTTGAGGCATATGTTCATTGACTGTTAACTCAGTGAGTAAGCAAATCAGTACATTTTGAAAAAAGCTTTGGTGAAAAAAATAGTTCTCACTACAGCTCTGTGATGATAACAAATGTAGATAACTTTGGCTATAAAAGAAAGAGAATGGGCAGTAACTTTGAGTGGCGTTGGTACTGTGGGATGTAAAAAGGAGTTTTTAAGAGATCTGAATATGGTTAAAAGACAGACAAGTATACAAGCAAAATACCAAATTTAGTAATTAACTCTCAGCCCTTATTGTCTCTCAGTGCTGACATGGCTTGTGACTACATCCTTAGAACTCTAGGCTCTGGCTTCTTTTTTTTTGGAGAGGTTTTCGCTATAGAGCACGTGCGCTCGCCAGACAGAGAGAGACATAGAGACAGAAAGCAAGACATCACCCCCAGGGAGGATGGTCACACCGCAATTCCTTCTCCTCCATTCTCCTCTCGGGATCTTGGGCATGCACGCACACGCGCCCGGTGTGAGTTTTAAGCCACCGGGTCCAGGACACGAACTGTGGTCGACTACATGGGAGTCCAGCAACATAGCCATTACGCTAACTGCTTGTTCCCTAGACTCTGGCTTCTTAAGATGCCTCTCTCAGTTGTACCTCATTCACCATACTTTTCAGTCTTCCTTGTTGATTCTACCTACAGAGCAGAGGACCTTTCATTATGTAGATTTGTTGAGTTAAGAGAGGAAATAGGGGCACCAGCAGTTGGCGTAGTAGCTATGTCGCTGGACTCCCATGTAGTCGACTGTGGTTCAAGTCTTAGACCCAGTGGCTTAAACTCACGCTGGGTGCATGTGCGTGCATGCCTGCCCAAGATCCCGAGAGGAGAATGGAGGAGGAAAGATTGTGCATGGCCATGCCCCCAGGGGGTGATTTCTTGCTTTCTGTCTGTCTCTGTCTTTTTTTTTTTTTGAAAGGTTTTTGCTATAGGGCGCATGCACTCACCAGGAAGACAGAGAGAGACAGAAAGCGAGAAATCACCCCCCAGGAGGGATGGCCATGCTGCAATATCTTCTCCTCCGTTCTCCTCTCAGGATCTTGGGCACACACACACACACATGTGACCTGCGTTAGTTTAAGCCACTGGGTCTGGGACCCAAACTGCGGTTGACTACATGGGAGTCCAGCGACATAGCCATTACGCTAACTGCTGGTCCCGAAAGTTGATGATCTTGATAAAAAGCAACTTGAATGAAGCACTGAAGATAAAAGCAAAATTATTGTTGGATGATTTGTAGGAGTGAATAGGCCAGTGATTTCCAGGTCTCTCCCTGCAAACTGGGCACTCCTAATGGCCAGGGACCACACTGGATCCCATTGGCTCTGCGGTGCTGTGCTTGATGAGTATTTGGGATTGTGCTTCAGTTCATGTACTTCAGGTCACTCGCTTCTCTCAGCTTCTTTCGCAGCTACTTAACACTGAGGATGAATTAGACCTTTCAGTTGTTTTCACACACACTTTCATTGAGCTTTGTCACCCTGCAGTCCTGTCTTTATATGATTAGAGTTTGAAACCCAAGAACATAGCCTTAAATATTCGTGTGAAACATATTAAATTCAGCTCAGTTCATGACTTATAAGGATTTCACTTTTAGATTCTAGTTTTGTCCTTTAAAATAACTTATTTATTTCTTATGTTTCCGGACCCAAACTGCGGTTGACTACATGGGAGTCCAGCGACATAGCCATTACGCTAACTGCTGGTCCCGAAAGTTGATGATCTTGATAAAAAGCAACTTGAATGAAGCACTGAAGATAAAAGCAAAATTATTGTTGGATGATTTGTAGGAGTGAATAGGCCAGTGATTTCCAGGTCTCTCCCTGCAAACTGGGCACTCCTAATGGCCAGGGACCACACTGGATCCCATTGGCTCTGCGGTGCTGTGCTTGATGAGTATTTGGGATTGTGCTTCAGTTCATGTACTTCAGGTCACTCGCTTCTCTCAGCTTCTTTCGCAGCTACTTAACACTGAGGATGAATTAGACCTTTCAGTTGTTTTCACACACACTTTCATTGAGCTTTGTCACCCTGCAGTCCTGTCTTTATATGATTAGAGTTTGAAACCCAAGAACATAGCCTTAAATATTCGTGTGAAACATATTAAATTCAGCTCAGTTCATGACTTATAAGGATTTCACTTTTAGATTCTAGTTTTGTCCTTTAAAATAACTTATATTTATTTCTTATGTTTCCTTTTTTTTTTTCCCTAGTATAAAACCAGCAAAGAAGGGAGTGTAATGGGAGTTACAGTATCCCGGCTTGCAATGTTGTCTCACTGCCAAGCTCTGTCGCAGGCCTGCAATTATTCTGAAGGTCAGACCTTGTCCCCTGACTGCCGTCGTTGTTAGCTTCAGCTGCGTGTGACAGTGAGCAATGCGCTCAGTGATTGGGTTCCATTTAACGACCAAACTCAGAGTGAAATGTTCTGAGACTCGTTTTTGGCTCACTTTTGTTTTCTTTTCTCACAAATATGCTATAATTTTAAAGAACTAAATTCTGGGCAAACCACGTATGTAAAGCTTGCTATTTAGACTACAGAAATAGAAAACCCTAATTAAAACTATGTTTTATTCGCTGAGAAATGTCAGGTGTCTCCATTCTCCCGGTTATAGAGAACTACTAGCTACATATTTGGAGTCGAAGAAATTAAGTCACCGGAAAGCATAAATTAAGGGACAAAAGAAAGTATTCTGGATTAATGAACTTCAAATGGGTTGATATATATTACATCACATAACTCTATCATTAAGTGGAAAAAATTAGACACAGAGCTTCATATACCAATTTGATGTTGAATACCTGTATGTAAATATGTCTAGAAATGTGTGTATTTATAGACATAATATATGGTTATAGATGAATATATGCACATCAACATTTTTATTTTCTCTAGGAAGTGTAATTTTTCACATGAATTTGTGAAACTTATGAAGTTTCTAAAATAACTATTTGATATATAATTAGGCAAAAAAAATGATCTCTTGGAAGATGCGCCTGAATCATAAGGAGACTAGCTTGTTCTCTCTACTCAGATTACATCGCCCCGTGTTCAGTGTTCTGGCCAATTTGAGGGGCCCTCCAGCAGTCAGACACCTCTGAGAACTTTTAATCATTTGTCTAGGAGCACCAAATCAATTGTTCAGTAGAGACAAGTGACATGATTTTGCTACTTAACACTAAAGATGGTTTCTTTATGTTTTTTTCTGTCTTAGGGGAAACAATAGTAAATGTTTTAGACTGTAAAAAGGACGCTGGACTGTGGCACGGCATGTTTGCGGTAAGCTACTCGGAATTGAGGCCTTTAGTATAAATCATGCTAAGGTTAAGGCCAACTCACTACATAATTAGAGCATCTCTCAGTGCTTATTTGAAATTTAAACCCCTAAAAGATCAATGATTTTTCCAAGGACATCTAATTTTTCCATTGGACAAAATGTTTTGAATAACAGCCATCTGTAAACTTCACGCTACAACAGAAGAAGAGTGTGACAAGGTCGACAGGGATATTTTCCATAATGTGGGAACAGGTAACATGCTATGGGTCTAGGAGGTAACTTCTGACTGGGCATCTAGACAGTTTTATGGAAGAGGCGATAATTGAGTTGAACTTTTAAAAGGAGGTATGCTTTAGCCATACAGAAATTTGGGAGGTAGGGGACATTTCAGGTAGGGAAGCTACCATATTTAACATGCTGTTTAGGAGGGAAGAGAAGAGTAGGACTCTAGAGTTGAATAGGACTTCAGAAAGCATCCGGTCCAGCTTCCTTTAGAATTGCAGGAGGCTGAGAAAGGGAGGAAGCGTGAGGGAAGAGGAGGATCCCTTTTCACTCAGACCCTTCAAATCAGCTAGAGCTTTATTCCTTGAGTGTACCACTGTCTAGCTCTTCTGCACCCTTATTCATTTCGTGTTTTTTATCAGAAGTTAAAAAACCCTTGTGAAACGTTCAGGGAAATCTCCTCCCTGTGATACAAGTACAGTAAGGATGTGTGAGAAGTTACTTTTGAACACTGTCCTTTTTCTGAAACCAAAAGTTTATCACTAGAGTTACAAACTTGAGGGAGGGTGGAAATGGTATCTTACAGTGGTGTCTTGGTTTCTTTGGGCTCCTTAGGCGGTGAGCAGAATGGCTAGCCTAAATACCAAGGCTTGGTTACTTGAGGGTTACCCCAGGCTAGGTTTCTCTGGGGACAGGGTATCCGGAGTATGTATGGTTCTGGTGACAGGAGAGACATGAAACTGCATGATCTCTCAACTCCCTCATTGTATCTAACCAACACTGAACAGGTCTGGGCCAGATCTCCTGTAAAAACCAGGGAAACTTTGATTTCTTGCTTTTTAATACCCACCCTTTGTGGTGCGTGGCAGCAAGAGCACAATGAAAGCACTTAATGGATTGGAGGGCAGTTTGACAATACCATTAACACTTAAAACATATACCCTGTGACCCAGTGCCCTGTGACCCAGTGGTACTGTTTATCTCTATCTACCCTAGAGACATATGTGTACACGAGCCCAGGGAAGTGAGTACAAATAAGTTCCCCAAAGCACTGTAATAGCAAAAAATTGTCATTGATAAGGATATGCTAACCGAGTTTTGATATGGCCATACTATAGAATACTAGGCAGCGAATCAGAAAAGATTATGTAAATCTCTTGTCCTGATGAATATAGATGTCACTCTAAAACAACTTAAGTGGAAAAAAAGTAAGTTGCAGATGTTTGTATGGTATATTGTATTTTATGTTAAATCATATTTATGTTTCTGTGGGGATAAATAGATATGTAAAATGCCTTGAGAATGGACTTGAAAGCGATGTGCCAAATTCATAACTGCGACTATCTCTGAGGAGTAGAGGAAAGACTCAGGTTTGAGGGTGGGTATGAAAGGAACTTCAACCGTCTAGTTAGTATTTCAGGTATTTTTCAAAGACTGTATTTGAGTTACTTGCATAATTAAGATTGTTAACAAAATGTCAATTTATTAACAGTTTTAAATGCTAAGTGTGGATTATATATTGATTACTTTTTATCCTTCTTTGCTTTTCAGAATGTAATGAACAAGATGCATACAATTAGTGTACCATACTCCGTTATGAAGACCTGTCCTCTCTCTTGGGTCCAAAGAGTACACGCTCACAAAGGTAGTCACACACAGCCTCTGAGCTTTATATGTGACTGTTCCAGTTAAGATTCTAGGGATTGGGGGCCCAGCAGGTGGCATGGTGGTCGAGGCCCTGGACTCCCACATGGCCAGCCATGGTTCAAGTCCCAGACCTGGCTGCTTGCTTTCTTTCTCTCTTTCTTTCTTTCTCTTTCTGGTAAGCACATGTGTCCTATAGCAAATTAATATAATAATAATCGTAATAAATAAAATTAAATAAGTTTTTTAAATAAAGATTGCAGGGATTTTAGGGGATTTTCCAATTGCCTTTATAGAGACACATTTCTATGCCTTGGTAAGTAAGCCAATTTTAGAGTTCAGTTACCATAGAATTAGATATATAATCTATTTTATGTCAGTGATTGTGTTTTCCTAAGATTTGAGATGAGGGTCCAACAGGTGGCGTGGTGGTCGAGATACTATACTCCCACATGGCTGACTACAGTTTGAGTCCTGGACGTGGTGTCTTGCTTTCTCTCTTTCTCTCTCCTTCTCTCTCTCTCTCTCTCTCTCTGTGTCTCTATGGCTAAATTAAAATAATAGTAATAACAACAAATAAAATTAAATAAACAGTTTTTTTCTTTTAAAAAGATTTGAGATGAATTCTTAGGCCAGCAGATGGCATGGAGGTTAAGGCATTAGATTCCACATGGCCAACAGAAGGATTCGAGTCCCAGACCCAGTTACTTGAAAAACACGCTAGGCACATGTACATATGTGGCCAAAATCCTGCGTAGAGAATGGAGGAAAAGGGATTCTAGTGGTGATATTCTCCCTGGGAGATGATGTCTCTCTCTCTCTCCAGTGAGCACCTGTGCGCCATGCCAAAACAAAAAGCAACAAAAAGAAAAAGAATTATGATGAATTCATGCAAATCTGAGCCCTAAATTAGATTTACTGTGTGCTCTGTTCAACGTTTTCTTGGCTGAGATACCGTGTCCATTCTAGAAATTTCAGTGAGATGTGTGTGTGTGTGTCTGTGTGTCTGTGTGTCTGTGTGTCTGTGTGCGTGCGCACACACACATATGCACATGCAAGCACGTGCCTAAAATCCTGAGAGGAGAAGGGATTGCTGTGTTGTCATCCTCCTGGATGGTGATTTCTCACTTTCTGTCTCTCTGTCTCTCTAGCACACACACATGCCCTATAGCAAAAATATCTAAAGAGGGAACCAGCAGTTAGCGTAATAGCTATGTCGCTGGATTCCCACGTAGTCGACCGCGGTTCGTGTCCTGGACCCGGTAGCTTAAAACTCACGCCGGGCGCGTGTGCTTGCGTGCCCAAGATCCCGAGAGGAGAGTGGAGGAGAAGGGATTGCAGCGTGACCAACCCCCCTGGGGGGTGATTTCTCGCTTTCTGTCTATGTCTCTCTGTCTGTCTGGCGAGCGCACGCGCCCTATAGCGAAAAACCTCTCCAAAAGAAAAAAATCTAAAGAAAAAAGAAAGAAATTGCAGTGAGGAAGCATTTATATGTCCAGTTGGTTGAACATGTAACTTTCTGCCTATGATCAGCTGGCAGAATCTCTTTGAAACCTGTTTTATTTTGTCCAAGTGAAAATCATGCTACCCAAAATAAATGAAAATGTTTTTATTGTAATATATGAAATATAAATTTAGCACATATGTGTATGTTAACTTTACCCCTTTTGTATTTATAGCTAAGGTAGCTTTAGTAAAATGTCGAGACTTACACTGGGCTATGATGGCACATCGAGACCAAAGAGATGTGAGCTTGAGTTCCCTGCGAATGTTGATTGTGACTGATGGAGCTAATCCCTGTGAGTATTTCTGGACTGTGGGTCTTAAAATATCCTTTTCTTTAGCTTAGGAGTTTTGCACCCTTCCTATTTTTTTTTTTTAAGTATCTGCATTGAGATATAACTTAAATACCGTAAAACTCACCCATTTAAAATGTGTAATTCAGTGGTTTTGGTTTGTTCATAGTCAGGCACTAGCACTTATTCATTACTGTGATCCTAGTTCCTTTTCATTACCCAGAAAAGAAACTATGTATCTCCATTGTCAGCTAGTCCCCTTCCGTCCCCACTGTTCCCCAGCCCTAGGCAACTGCCGATCTGCTTTCTGTCTATAGATTTGCTTGTCCTAGACATTTCATTTAATGCAGTCATATTATATGTGTTCTTTTGTGACAGGTTTCTTTCACTTTGCAGAACATTTTTAAGGTTCATCCATGTCGTAGCATGTATCCATACTTCATTATTTTTATTGGAAAAAATATTCTATTGTATAGATCCCCACTCTGTATTTTTTTAAATAATTATTTATTTTTAATTTTATTTAGTCATTCACTTTTTTTTTTTTTTTTATAATTTTACCCAATTTTTTTTTTTTAATAATTTGACCAGAGAGAGATACACAGAGAGAAGGAGAGGGAAAGTGAGAAAGCAAACCACCAGGTCCGGTATTCGAACCACAGTCAGCCATGTGGGAGTGTCCAGCACCTTAACCACCACGCCACCTGCTGGTCCCCGCCACTGTGTATTTTATTTATCTATTCTTCTGATGGTTCTATAAGCTTTTAAAAGCACCTCTTCTTGCTCTGTCATTTATATCCTTTTTGTATGATGTAACTGAGTATTCATTCAACAGAAGAAATGAGGGCTGGTCCCATGGCCTGGCGGTTAAAGGAGCTGGATCCCACATGGCTGACTGCACAGTTAAAAATCCTAGCCCTAGCAACTTGATAAACAGTGGTCACATGTCTGTATAAGCTTGCCCAGAATCTTGCCAGGATGGAGAAATGGAGGGAAGGGGATTGTGGCTTGACCAGGCCCTGTTGTAGGGTACGTTCTCTCTCTTCCCCCTCTCTGTCTCTAGTGAGTGTGTGCACCCTCTGACAAATTAAAAATATAAATTAATTTAAAAATAGAAGGAATAACACAAAGGTAACTTGATGTAATCAAGTATCTGGACTTCATGTAAATTCTCCCCAGCAAAAGACTTCGCAAAAACCATTTAGAGACATTACCATGTTACCTGCTTTTTTTCAATAAATATAGACATCCTGATCATCCCTATGGTAGAAAAATATTGTCTTGATCATAAATGTGTTTCTGTCAGTAGTTACACTCATCATCTTGGTTAAAAAACACAGACACAGGATTGACCATATTAAGAAAAAGTCAGAGAAAGGGCCCTGTAGTCTAGTGGTTAAGGGAGCTGGGTCCCACACAGCTAACCATAGTTCAAATTTTGGCCTCAGCAGCTTGAAAAACATGCTGTGCATGTGTGCATGCGTGTGCCAAATCCTAAGAGGATGTGGAAATGGAGAGGAGATTGCAGACAACCAAGTCCCTCTTCTCTCTTTCTCTCTCTTTCTCTCTTTTTTTCTCTCTCTCTCTCCTGTCTCTCTCTGGCATGTTCAAGTACCCTCTGGTAAAGAAAAAGTCAGAGAATGTCACATAGAAGAAAGCTGAACTAAGTCAGTGCTTACTGTGTTGCACTAGTAATTACGACGTTAGCTCTTGATTACTCAGTTTGGTAAGAGCAAACTTAGTCCAAGTTGCAACTTTAAACAGTGTCAGTGACCCTTCATATACCAGATGAGCATTGATATGTTCTAGAAATTTATCAGATTGGGACCAGCAGGTGGCGTGGTGGTTAAGGTGCTGGACACTCCCATATGGCCGACCATGGTTTGAGTCCTGGACCTGGTGGCTTCTTTCTCACTTTCCTTCCCTCTCTTTCCTCCTCTGTATCTCCCTCTGGTCAAATTAAAATAAATGAGTGAATAAATAAAATAAAACAATTAATTTTTTTAAAAAAGAAATTTATCAGATCATCTCATGGGCACAGTAAAATATTCGTATAAATTAACGATGTGCACGTTCTCATAAAAAACAAATATGTCAGCTTATATTCCTACCAGTTTCCTGCAGTAATGAAAATCACAATTGCATTTTTAAACTTGATCTCTGCCCACTCAGGGTCTGTGTCATCCTGTGATGCCTTCCTGAGTCTGTTCCAAAGCCACGGGCTGAAACCTGAGGCCATCTGTCCGTGTGCTACGTCTGCCGAAGCCATGACCGTGGCCATCCGCAGGTACTGTTCAGCGTCAGGTGCTCTCGATGTGTCGCACCTTGGATGAGTGCACAGTGCTTACCAGGCAATGACAGCGGGTGCTAATTCATTTTCTGCTTCATGAGCCTAAAAGTGGGAATTGTTTGGTCAAGTAGTTCGAAGCATCTCATTTATTTTTCCCACTTTTGATCAAAATATACCAAATGAGCTAAAATTTTACTCTAATTATTCTCATGTTGTATTTGTGAATTAGTTCTTTTTCTGTGTTGTTTTATACTTCGGAATCCATGGTTAATATCTCAGACTAGAAATACACTGTTCTTGATTGTAGCTTAAGTGTGAAGAGTACGTTTATAGTATACCCAATACCAGTATATCCTCTTTTTTGTTGTTTTTACTATAGGGCTCGTGCACTCGCCAGAAAGACAGAGAGAGACAGAAAGCAAGAAATCACCCCCCAGGAGGAATGGCCACGCCGCAATCCCTTCTCCTCCATTCTCCTCTCAGGATCCTGGGTACACATGCACATGCACCTGGTATGAGTTTGAGCCACTGGATCTGGGACTGAACCACAGTCAACTACATGGGAATCCAGTAACATAGCCATTACGCCAACTGCTGGTCCTAATACCAGTATATTCTTAAAAACTGATTAAAATATACTTTTTCTGGGACTAGTAGATGATGTAATGGTTATATTGCTGAACTCCCACATAGTTGACCGCAGTTTAAGTCCCAGATCCAGTGGCTTGAAACTCACGCCAGAAATGTGTGAATGCGTGCCCAAAATCCCAAGGGGAAAATGGAGGAGCAGGGAAATGGCGTGGCCATCCCTCTAAGGGGTGGGTGGGTGATTCCTCACTTTCTGTCTCCCTGTCTCTCTCTCTCTCCCCAGTGAGCACACAAGCCCTATAGCAAAAATCTCTTAAATTTTAAAATATTTTTCCATGTGATTGAAAATTAACTGTGCTTTTGAATTTGATTAATGTGAATGTGACAAATTTGGTATAGTTTTGGTCAAGAAAAGAGAGATGTGGGGTTTTTTATTATTATAGGCAGAGAAAATTTGTTTTACTATATATTCATATTTTTTTTTCTTGAAATCATCTAATTTACCAAACTGGATGGGTTTATTTTCTTTGCAGGCCTGGAGTTCCAGGGGCCCCTTTGCCAGGGAGAGCCATTCTCTCAATGAATGGATTGAGCTATGGAGTAATACGGGTCAATACCGAAGATAAAAATTCAGCGCTAACGGTCCAGGATGTGGGGCATGTGATGCCTGGTGGTGAGCTGTGATGAGCATCATTTGTTTTTTCATAAAGATTTGTCATCAGAGGTAGTAGAACCTAATAAGTAGGAGATCTAAAACCAGGAATCCTAAATTAAGTACTTAGTCTCTTAATTTCTCAAAAGCTTCTCTTGACATTTAAATAGTTACAAGTTTGCTGACCTTCCAGCAGTATGGCAGGGTCTGGGATCTATCAATTTTGAATGCTTCAGTTACACTTCACTTGGGTTGCTAAGTACTGAATAATACTGAAGTTTCCTGGTTTTCACTGTAATTGCCAGCCCATTCAGACTGGCAGGAAATTAGAGCATGCTGCATCCGTGGTTGAGTTTGACCTGCTTAGGGGTAACACTTAATTCATCAAACCTATTTCATTGGACTTTACCATCATTTTAAATATGTCAACTGTCTCTAAAAGGCTTAAATTTCAATTTTATCTGTGTAGTTTGAGGTTTATTTTTAGCATTTCTGTTTGATATCTAATACCACTCAATAAACGTACAACTCTCCTGGGTTCACAGGAAAAAGCTGTTACTTGGCAAAAGTTTTCCAGAGTTTCTGTCTCTTACCTGTATTTTCTATATAATAGGGATGATGTGCATTGTGAAACCAGATGGACCTCCCCAACTCTGCAAAACAGATGAAATCGGAGAAATCTGTGTTAGTTCCAGAACTGGAGGCATGATGTACTTTGGGCTTGCTGGTGTGACAAAAAATACATTTGAGGTACACAATATCACCATTTCATGGGGGAAATGTTTGAGAGGCCAGTGTTACCAGGGCAAATCCACTGGGCTGACAGGACATAGCATGGTATAGCGGTTGAGCATGCATCCTCTGCAGCTAGACTGCCTAAGTTCAACTCCCCCACTTACTAGCTGACCTTCAGTGGGGCGCTTCCCCTCTCTGTATCCTGATTTCCTTGTCTTTACACTGTGAGTAGTAACAGTACCTGCCTCATAGGACTGTCATGAGGACTCAGTGAGCTAGTGTTTATGAAGCGTTTAGAGCAGCTCCTGGCTTGTGGAAATTGCTGTTGTGAATCTGTTAGGTAAATGAAGGATAAGAGGCCTCATAAAAGTTCACTCAGGGGGCCGGCAGGTGGCATGATGGTTGGGCTGCCAGACTCCTACATGGTGGCCGACTATGGTTCAAGTCTTGGACCTGGCAGCTTGCTTTCTCACTTTTTCTCTTACACATTCTCTTTCTTTCCCTCTCTGGCCAAATTAAAATAAATAAATAAATAAATAAATAAATAAAGTTAAATAAGATAATTCTTTTTTAAAAAATAAAAGTTCACTTTGGTATATTTGCTGTGGGTTTGAGCTTTTATAAGTTTAAAACTATAATTTGGGAGAATATAATGACAGTGGCACAATCTTTCCAAAGTACACCCAAGTTATGCCATATTACCAACTAAAAATGATGAATTGTCCTGGAGATTGTGCATGTTATTCAGTCTTTATTGAGCACCTTTTATGTGTCTGGCACTATTCTAGATGCTTAGGGAAAAGGAAGAACGTAAACAAGCAGAGGTCCTCACAGAGCACAGATTCTGGAGGAGCCAGCATACTCTACCTAGACTAACACATTTTTCTCCTGGGCACAGTTCTGCATGTGAATCTAAGTTGCAATGAGAAATTTGCCTAGCGAGCCTAAAAATCAAAAGGGTAATTAATTGTCTGTATTTCCTAATTGGGATTAACCTGCCTCAGGCTATCTTTTAGGGACCAGAGAAACTCAGTTTGTAGGTCATGTCCTTGTCACATTTTATCGGGTTTATAGGAATGAGCACCATCCATTTGCAGTTATTTGAGCTTCTTTTTCAATAATCTAGACTAGTGATTCTCAGGGTGACATGGCCTGTGTATTACCCTTCCATCTGAAAGTTAGTCCATGTACCCGTGTACTGACAGATGTCCAAGAGTGTCATCTCTGTGGCCAAATATCTGTGTTGTCCATGGTGTGTTGCCTGAAAGGGATAAGAACTCGGGGTGACCGTCATCTTTGTATATAGCCCAAAATGATACACTGTAAATTATTAGATGTCTTTTTTTATCATTACTATCACTGCAATGGTCTTAGACTGCTTTAAAATGTCACATCTGGGCCAGTAGTATGGCTCAAGTCCTGGACCTGGTGGCTTGAAAAGCACACCAGTGTGTGTGTGCACACATGCCCAAAATCCCAAGAGGAAAATGGAGGAGAAGGGACTGCAGTATGGCCATTCCCATGGGGCAGGGGTGGAAGGTGATTTCTCACTTTCTCTCTGTCTGGCAAGTGCATACAACCCATAGGAAAACTGCCCCCATCCCAGCCAGTGCACACGCCCTATAGCGAAGAACTAAAATAATAATAATAATAATAAAAAAAGAAAATCTACTGGAAAGAAAATATACAGGATACACATGAGAACAGAGACCTAATATTCCATCACCACCATGTGTTAGCTTCTTTTTTTTTTTTTGGAGAGGTTTTTGCAATAGAGTCCATGCACTTGCCAGAAAGACAGAGACAGAAAGCGAGAACTCACCCCTCAGTGGGGATGGCCACCCCGCAATCCCTTCTCCTTCCTGGACCTGGGATCTTGGGCACACATGCACACACGCCCAGCATGAGTTTACACCACCAGGTTTGGGACTTGAACGCAGTCAACTACATGGGAGTCCAACGGCATAGCCGTTACGCCAACTGCCGGTCCCTTTAGCGTCTTGATTTGAGGTAAATGAAACCCTCTGTGTCTCACTTTCTCATCTATGAAGTGGAAATAGTCATCCTGTTTCACTTAAATATGTGATGTAAAACAGTTAGATCCCTGCCTATGAAAGGGCAACATAAATTTCCCCTCTACTGTGAAGGTTCAAGTCTAAATCCACTGAAATAAACCACAACTACATTAATAAGAGATAAACCAAACCAGTTTATTTGATCACTGTTTGGGTGACATAGAAACCATCACATTGAAGGTCTAAAAAACCTAGGGCAGGCTATCCATTGCTATGCTCAGGTTCAATGGCGCACGGACCAGCCGTGTATAGGAAAACAGTAGGAGGAAAAGGATGTGATCTGATAGTAATGGCTGAGGGGAAGAACTCAGCAAGGCTCTCCATACAGGTACCTCTTGATTTCTCTTCCACCTGCATATAGGGCAGGATACTTTCTGGAATGGGGCGAGGACTTTTGACTTTTAATTAAAGTAGGCCAAAGGACCTCTGTTTCTTTTTTTAAGCTTATTTCTTCTGTGAGAGAGAGAGCCAGTACCCCTACAGGGTTTGTTTTTGTTTTTGTTTTGTTTTGTTTTGTTTTTCCCACAAGGCACATGCACTCACCAGAGAGAGACAGGGGAAAAAAGGAAAGGAGAAAAAGCACCCCCCAGGGAGGTGGTCACACTGTAATCCCTTCTCCTCCATTTCTCCATCTTGATAGTATTTGGGGCATGCATACGCAGACATCTGTAATGTTTTTTTTTTCAAGCCACCTTGTCCAGGACTTGAACCATGTGGTCAGCTATATGGGACCCGGCTACCTTGAACACAAGGCCATGGGACTAGCCCCCAGTAGGATCTTGATGCTGGGATCTACGCCCAGTCTCAGTCAGCCCCAGATTGTGGACACCGCACATGTCCAGCATACTTCGAGTGGTCTTCAGACATGAACTCAGAACTTTCCTGTATGGGTCAGCCAGCCTCTAAGAGCACCATTTTTTACCACTATGCTACCATCTGGCTCCCAGAGAATTTCTTATGGCTAACTCTTATATGGAAAGAAAGAGAAAGTTAGGGGGATATTCTCAGGTTTTATGAGTGATTTTGTGGGAAGGGGTTCTGGTTTCTGTGGCCCATCTTGGGAAAGAGGGGTCATAATTTCTGTGTTTTGCTTCAAAGGAGAATGAAGGATGAGAGGCAAGAGATCAGGAAAAGGTCAAAGAAAAAACCTTGCTTGAGACTGCTTCTGAGTTCTTCACTTTGAGATATCATTTTCTAAGTCCCAGCCTACCCCTGGCACATGACATTTTACAGCGTTAGCTCTTGTTATTGTTCCCCTATACAAAAAAGGAAATCTTGGGGACTGCACAGTAGTACAGCAGTCACTCAGTGAGGCCAACCCATAGGGGAAGGTTCCAGGTTCATTTCTAGAGACTTCCTTGAATATACTAGACACATATCTGCCCAGGATTTGGGGCTGGCTGAGACTGGATGTGTATTGCACCTTGGAACCCTACTGGGTGCTGTTTCTCTTCCTTTGTCTCACTGACAGAGGAAATAGGTAAACTTTAAAAAATTATTTTTAATTAAAGGAGGAAATCCAATCAGAAAAAATACAGAGAAGACCTGAATAGTCTACTCAAGAAAAGACATACAAATGGCCAGTAAACAAAAAGAAATTCAGCCATGTTACTAATAAAGAAATGCAATTAACGGCGTGATACCTTCTTTGGTACCAGATTATCAGAGTTTGGAAAATGGATGATAAGTAGTATTGCTGGGCATATGGAAAAACAGATACTCTTATGTGGTATTGGTGGAGTATGAACTGTTAGAACAGTTTTGTAAAACAGCCTATTAAAGTTGAAAAGATTAGGGACCAGCAGTTAGTGTAATGGCTATGTCGCTGGACTCCCATGTAATCGACCATGGTTCATGTCCCAGACCCAGTGGCTTAAAACTCACGCCGGGCGCATGTGCATGTGTGCCCAAGATTCCGAGAGGAGAACGGAGAGGGAATTGCAGTGTGGCCAATTTGGAAAGATATGCAAGATATGGATATGTTATGTCAAAAAACAAGTTGCAAAGCAATACATATATGATCCTTTAGAAAGAAAACTCTTAATATGTTAATATATGTATTTTTTAAAAGTTGAAAGGGAGGCTAGCAGATAGCATGGTTAAGGCACTGGACTCCCACATGGCAAGCTGGCGATTCGAGTCCTGGACCTGGTGGCTTGAAAATCACGTTGGGAGTCTATGCATGCATGCCCAAAACTCCAGGAGGAGAGTGGAGGAGAAGGAATTGTGGCATAGCCATCCCCCTGGCAGGGTGATCACTCACTTTCCCTCTCTCTGTCTCTCTCTGGTGAGCACATGCGCCCTATGGCAAAAACCTTTTTTTAAAAAAATAAGTCGTATCTGGGACCAGCAGTTAGCGTAATGGCTATATCGCTGGACTCCCATATAGTCAAATGCAGTTCACTTCCCAGACCTGATGGTTTAAAACTCACGCCGGGCACGTGTGCGTGCATGCCCAAGATCCCGAGAGGAGAATGGAGGAGAAGGGATTGCGGCGTGGCCATCCCCCCTGGGGGTGGATTTCTCGCTTTCTGTCTCTATGTCTCTCTCTGTCTGACGAGCACACGCGCCCTATAGCAAAAACCTCTCAAAAAACAAAAACAAAAAAGTCGTATCCTCAACTAGACTGGTGTGATGTGTTGAATTCATGTTGGGTAAATTCACTGTACAAGTTAAATGATTTATCGAGATTGAATATATAAAATAAATGTTTAAATAATTTAAAAATTTTAAAATAAATAATTATAACTTTAAAAAAAGTCAAGAGAGGTAAACAACAAATTGTGAGTATTATCACTTAAAGGGATGGAATTACTGTATTCTTGTTAATTTTTCAACAAAAACGTATCACTGTAATTTTTTTTAAAGAATTGTTTATGTCATTTTATTTATCATTATTATTACTGTGTTTTAAGTTGACCAGAGAAAGACAGAGAGAGAGAAGGAGAGGGAGAAAGCAAGCTGCCAGGTCTGGGATTCAAACCATGGTCGGACATGTGGGAGTTAAGCACCTTAACCACCATACCACCTGCTGGCCCATGTAATCTTTTTTTTTTTAATAAGACTTTTTAAACATCAAATACACTTTCCTCAAAAATAGCAAGGCTTACCACTTCTTCATTTTGTCTTTCAGGTGATTCCAGTGAATTCTGTAGGCTCTCCTGTTGGAGATGTGCCATTCATCCGGTCTGGACTGCTGGGCTTCGTAGGGCCAGTAAGTGTTGCTTTTATGTTGACTTTGGTACAATTCATCCAACTACTTGGACTTTAATTCACAGAATAGAACAATTTTTGATTAGCCCTAGAGTGTTACAGGGCTGCTTAACTTATATTTAGCGCAATTTCTTTTTTTTGTTTTTTTGGGAGGGTTTTTTTGTTTGTTTGTTTGTTTTTTTGGAGAGGTTTTTGCTATAGGGCGCGTGCGCTCGCCAGACAGACAGAGAGAGACAGAGAGACAGAAAGCGAGAAATCACCCCCCAAGGGGGATGGCCACACCGCAATCCCTTCTCCATTCTCCTCTTGGGATCTTTGGCACGCACGCACACGCGCTCAGCGTGAGTTTTAAGCCACCAGGTCCAGGACTCGAACTGCAGTCGACTATATGGAAGTCCAGCGACATAGCCATTACGCTAACTGCTGGTCCCTATTTAGAGCAATTTCTAAGAGAATGTCATAAAATGAGTTAATGTTTATTATTTCCATTACTCAAATTCATTAGACACTTTCAAACTAAGACTTTTTTTAAAGACTGTTTCACTTATTCTCATTGTCTTTTTTTTTTTTTTAATTTAACGTTACAATAAGTTAGGAAAGAGTTGGAAAAAGTTACCCTCAATAGCAAAATACAGAGTGTACATACATAGTGTACAAAGCACTTTCATACAAATTAATAGCACAACACCATGTATAACAGTAAACTATTTAAATGAAAACAATTTGTTATGCAGCAAATGGTATTTATAGACATTGGATTTACGGAGATAATTAGGACACAAAGAGCATGTTCTCGGGACTAGCAGTCAGTGTAATAGCTATGTCGCTGGACTCCCATGTAGCCGACTGTTGTAGTTTGCCTCCCGGACCCGGTGGCTTAAACTCACGCCAGGCATGTGTGCGTGCATGCCCAAGATCCCGAGAGGAGAATGGAGGAGAAGGGATTGTGGCATGGCCATCTCCCCTGAGGGTGATTTCTCTTTCTGTCTCTCTGTCTCTCTCTGTCTGTCTGGCGAGTGCACACGCCCTATAGCATAAACCTCTCAAAATAAAGAGCATGTTCTCAAAGGGGAGCCAGGTCATGGAGGGCCTGGCATGACATAATGGAAAGTTAGGGTTTTACTTGGTGAGTGATAGTCATTATCCTAGTTAAGCCTGTATCCCTTCATCCATCTCTAATTACCTCCTACCCTCTCATTCCTCTTAGCAGTTTGTCGAAGAAAAGATTTTTACTTCTTTCCCACCATATATGGCAGGAGGGAGGGAGGGTAGAGATCTAGGAGAATCACTCTGCTAACAATAGTAGTGTGCATCTACTATCTTCACTTCTCCACTCAGCACCAGGAAATTCTCAATGACTCAGCTCCTTTTAGCTTTACTGACCCACTACTGAAGCCAAGATGGAGCTCCAGTCATCACATCTGCATTCCAGGAAATAGAGGAAAGGGTGTGGCCCTGCCAGCTGTGCTACACCTCTGCTTCCATCTCATTGGACTTAACTAGTCCCAAGGCCACGTCTAGCTGCAAGGGAGGCTACGATGTAGTCTTTACTTTGCTTAGCCATGCCCAGCTAAAAGTTCTGTTGCTATGAAAGAAGTGGAGAACCATACATTGAGGGACTGGCAGTAAAGTTCTCATTCTCTTTATTTACCAACACTGTAGATTTTCAAACTCTTGGAAATGGCTGGTTCTTTTCTATCACCTGGTATGGACTGGACCAGTAGGTTCAGAGGACAGAAGTTATATCTTTATGTACATAACCCAGTCAGTGTATGGCTCCACTCTGTGCTCGGTAAATCAGTGAGTGATACTCACCTGGAGGTAATTGGCTAATCAACCCAAGAAAATCAGGGATTCTGTAATGATGAGAAAAGTTTAATTTATGCAAATGGGCCTGGAAAGATTATTTATACAGTAATGCTTTGATGGTCGAGTTGCCTGCTGCTGTGCTCTCTAACTGGAAGAGAGTCTTCTACAGTGTTCCTTAAAACCTTCTTTATTACCCCGTTTCTAATTTTGCCAAATGGAAACAGCATTACCTTTTTTTTTATTATTACTCTTTTAAACTTGAAATAGCCATTCTCATATTGATACTGTTTTAATCTCCTAGTTCTTGTGATAAATGAGTTCACATTTTTCTCCTCTACATTCATCCTGCTGATAGGTGTGGAAGATGAACTCATGTACAGTCATGGCTGGGAAAGTAAACTGTGCTTTTGTGGAATCTCACTTGCTTTCTTCTAAAATTCTTCCCTAAGAATAAATATGATTTTTAAAAATAATTATTTATTTGATTTTTTTATTGTTATCATTATATATTCTTTTTAATTTGCTACTGGGCATGCACACTCATGTGTGTGCATCTTTCTCTCACTAGAGAGAGAAAAAGGGAGAGTGAGAAAGCAAGCCACCAGGTCTCAGACTCAGCCGTGGTCAGCCACCTGGAAATCTAGCACCTTAACCACCACGCCACCTGCTGGCCCCAATTATGAGATGTATTGTTAAGGCAGGAAGTAAAATATGTCTGTTTTACCATTTAAGATTTTGGAAATCAAAGTAAATTCTTATTACCTTTCAGGGTAGTCTGGTGTTTGTGGTTGGAAAAATGGATGGATTACTGATGGTTAGCGGTCGAAGGCATAATGCTGATGACATTGTTGCTACTGGATTGGCAGTTGAGTCAATAAAGACTGTTTATAGGGGAAGGTGAGTAGTACCATGTTCAAATGTTAGCACTTCTGGAATCTAAATAGATTTTCACAGGACTTTTTGTGTTGTATCTGTAGATTCCCTTCCCAAGTGATGAGGTTATTTTGGTTAAGCATAGCAAAAGCTTAGCTTTGGGGACCAGCAGTTAGCGTAATGGCTATGTCACTGGACTCCCATGTAGTTGACCGCAGTTCAAGTCCCGGACCCATTGGCTTAAACTCAAAGCCAGGCGCGTGTGTGTGCGTGCCCAAGATCCCAAGAGGAGAATGGAGGGGAAGGTATTGTGGCGTGGCCATCCCCCCTGGGGGGTGAGTTCTCGCTTTCTGTCTCTGTCTTTCTGGCAAGCGCATGTGCCCTATAGCAAAAAAACCAAAAAAAAAAAAAAAAAAAGCTTAGCTTTGAATATATATCTCACAATGTCTAGTTCCTTGACTCTGATTGAGAGGAATAACACAAAACTATATCCTATCTTTGGATATTAAAATTTTTTTTAATAATTGCCTGGAGGGCTTGTGCACTCGGCAGAGACAGAGTAAGGGGGAGAGAGAGAAAAAAAAAAGGCAGGCCAATTGAGGTAGAAGCTGTTCTGTAGGAGTTTACATATAAAAATTATTTCGCTTACTCATTTCTGACTAAAAATTATTTCTCTTACTCGTTTCTAACTAAATTAATGCTATTTTAATGTGAAGATTGACATAGGATATATGTGTTAATTTCAAATTCCATGACAAAGTCAATTAGATATATTTTTTCCTTTGTTTATTAATACCAGAAAAGATACTTGCTATATATTTGAAAAGTTCATTTCCTGTTCATCAGTTTGCTATCGAAGATATATATATCTTCAAAGCAACCTTGGCATCCTTTAAGTTTTTTTAAAATTGAAAAAAAAATTGAAATAAAAAAAGAACCAGTTCCTAGAATGTGGGGTTTGTGTAATGGTGTGACTGCCCAAGAGATGTAAGCTTCATGGGGCTCTAGGCCTTTTGTCTTTGGTCCTGATTCTATCCCCAGCACTTAGCACAGTGCCTGGCATACAGAAGACGTTCAATAAATGTATGTGGAGGGAAAGAAGGGAGGGAGTCAAGCAGACGTGCCACTCTTCAGCTCGCCAGTGGCTTCCCATTCTCTCATGCATTTATTCGACAGATATTTTTAGGGTGTCAGCCATGTGCCAGATACTCTGTTCTAGGTGCTTTGGCCGCAGTAGTGAACATAATGGGCCAAGTCTCTGCCCTCATGAAGCTCACGTCCTCACTGTGGAAAACAGTAACTAGATAAAGAGTTAGATGGTAACAGGTGAGGTGATTCTAAGAGCTGTGGAGAATGAACACCTGGGGCTTGAGGGAGGGGCTTGCCGTTTTGTGTGCCGTGGTCTGGGGATGCCTCAGTAGGAAGGGGACATTTGAGCGGAGACCTCACTCAGAACCAGCCCCATCCTCCTCCCTTGGCCTCCCAGCTCCTCCGGTCCTGCCCTGGCCTGTGTCTGACCTCTCCCTCCCACTCTCTGCTTCACCACTTTGCTCCAGGCACCCTGGCCTCCTTGCTGTTCCTCAAACCTGCCAAGCTCGTCCCTACCTCAGAACCTTTTCGCTTTCCGTTCCTTCTGCCCGGAAACCTCTTCCTCCAGATCTTCGCGTGGCTCGTGTCCTCACTGCATTCAGGTCTCTGCTCCAATGTCCGCTCCTCAGAGAGGCTCCCCAGCACCCCGGCTGCAGTAATACACCGCCGCCACACCCCTGGCCCTGCCTCAGTTTGCCTCCTGGTGTATATTACGACATAACATCATGATGTGTGTTTACTTGTCTGTCCTGTGTCTAACATGTAAACTCCACAAAGGCAGGAACTTTGTTTTATTTACCACTGTGTCCCCAGCATTCATTACAGTGGTGCTTCCTACATGTTTTTGAATGAATGAATCTTCATTTTGATGGTAATAATTGTGACATTTTCTTTTCTCAACTATTCATTTCTGGGTGGTGTGGTGGGGACGTGTCTCTCTGCTGTGTAATTCCAGTTAAGCAAAGTGAATAGAACTTACCCCGAAGGGAGTTCTGATGTGTTTGATCTGTCTCTCTTAGAATTGCTGTGTTTTCTGTGTCTGTATTTTATGATGAGCGCATTGTGGTGGTTGCGGAACAAAGACCTGATGCTTCGGAGGAAGACAGTTTCCAGTGGATGAGCCGCGTGTTACAGGTGCGTGTACCATGGGGTCTGTGTCCTCTAGGAGGCAGCAGCCACTGCTTACACATTTTTTTGACAGGTCATTGCTCTAATATTCTGAGTACCATTACAAAATCAGATAATGAATGCCATTTCTTCATGTGGACCACAACATTCTGCTCAGGTTGCCAAGAACAATGGAATTGACTTGTCTCAGCAAATTCTTTCCCACCCTGAGTATTTGCTCCTGTGGAAGTCGTGACTGTCCATACGTGGAACACATCTCTGACAGTAATCAATCCACTGTCAGCAGTTGCTTACAGGCTTATTGCATGTCGTAAGTGCTGCCTAGCATGGGAGGCAGCTACGAGAAGACCAGGCCTTATTCTTACTCTGAAGGACCTTTCCTGTGGAGATAGGCAATAGTGGGTGAGACAAACCATGAGGGAAGGAGAGTGGCTTAGGCTCAGACAAGAGATGTATTTCTAGTGGGGAGCATGCTAGAATGATGTGGAGAGCCTGGTCTTTGTTTAAAATCATAGGCTTTGAATCCCAGTTTCACTCTTCGTCACATAGTGCTCTTAAGCAAGGCATTTAACCTCGTTGAATTCATTTCCTACCCTTTATAATGGGGGTAAAATTATCTATTTTACAGAGCTGTTGTTAGGACTAAATGAGATAATTAATTGACATGAATTCAGTAAATAATGATGAATTCAGTAAATAATGATGGTGACTATTAATACCGAGAATAATGATCATCGGCATAATCTCCCATCATAGGATTAGAGAAGTTTACTCTATCATAAATAGCATTCCCTTTCACTCTCTGTTCCTTTTCTTTTTTTTTTTTTGTCTATTTAGCATTTATAAGTATTCACCGTTTAAGTATTATATTTACGGTCTCCCATATTTATTGTAATATAAGGCCCATGGAATCCCTGACTTCTTTGTCTCTCTTGCTCACTGCTGAATCCCCAGAGCTGATAGCTATGCTAGCATAGTCAGAGGCAGCTCAGGGAACATTCTGGAGCCTAAATGCATGGTCCAAAGAAAGCTCACTGTCCTTGTCACAGCCACCTGCATGTTGTGCAGTGTGCTCCAGTGTCTATAACGTCTCTGCTTGGGAGCGTTTGGACTTACTAACTGCCAGTTAGTAGTGATGTAGAAATGCATTATGAGGTGAGTGGTAGGGCTGGACGATTTTTAAAGATTTCTCTCTACCCTCAGCATCTTTGATTCAGCTGGTATAGCATAGGCTATTTGCAGTAGAAAAATGGAGGAAAGAACATCTACTCAAGGCAGCCTAGACAGAAAAGTAGAACTGGACTGACCTCTGAAAGATGGCTAAAAGGCAGACGTGCAAAGGAAATAGTTTTCATACCATTCATATTTTCAAACAAAAACCTGCTTGTTTTTCTTAGAATGAACTCTGAGTTGAATGGTAGACTCTTTGGTTGAATTATGTATTTTTTCCCTATTACATAAAAGTGAATGCACCTGAAAATTTCCAAAGTATTTGTTACTTTTCTCTGCAAAGCAACTATAGGAACTAAATGCTATACCTATTTACTCATCCAAATGTTTGTAAAAGTCACTTGGGGTCTAATTGGTCTGACGTGGAATAAGAGGCTGTTATTTTCCCAGTCTCTATCGCTTCTCTCCTTTGGGGATTTGGGTCCATAGTAGAACAGTAAAGGACACCCATGTTCTAGTAGGTTGGAACCCAAGAGGTTAATTCCAGGTCTGTGTATAATATTAATTAAATATTGACACCAGCAGGTGGCGTGGTGGTTAAGGGTGCTGGACTCCCACATGGCCGACCATGATTCGAGTCCTGGACCTTTCAGTCTCTCTCTCTGTTCTTCTCTGGTCAAATTAAATAAATAAATAAAATAATTCTTTTAAAAAATACTAATATTAATTAAATATCTAATCAGAACCCTCTAAATAAAAGTGATTAGTAGGTAATTTACCAGATGTTTTGTTTTTAGTGGTGAGTTCCGTTTACAAGTAATACATTGGCTAGTTTCTGTGTGTTCTAAAACACCAGAAACTTAAGAACGCTACTAGATCCTAGTCATCTGTCCTGATTATTTGGATAGTCTGAAGAATATGATTTTCATGTTTTCTTTTGTCCTGTTAAGTTCTTTTGTTTTTTTCTTACTAATTTTGTCAGAGGGCATGTGCACTGGCCAGAGAGAGAGACAGAGAGAAAAAATGAAAAAGCACCTTTAACAGGGAATGGTCACACTACAATCCCTTTTCCAATTTTTTCTCTATTCTGGATTTTGGGCATGCACATGCCTGGTGGGTCTTTTTAAGCTGCCAGGTCCAGGACTTGAACCCAGCTGCCTTAATTGCCATTCCATTGGCTGACTCTTAAGTTCTTTTAAATAAACGGCCTTATCCATCTTTTATGACTGAACTTTAGATCTATCGGCCCATTTTCCTTTTTTTTTAAATTATTAATATTTTGCTGGGACCAGTAGATGGCATAATGGTTGTCACTGAACTCCCATGAGTCAACCACAGTTTGAGTCCTAGACTTGGTGGCTTGAAACTCACGCTGGAGGTGTGTGCACGTGCATACGCATACCCATGATCCTGAGAAGAGAATTGAGGAGAAGGGATTGTGGTGTGGCCATCCCTCTTGGGGGGTGATTTCTCACTTTCTGTCTCTATCTCTTTGGCAAGCATATATGCCTTATGGCAAAAAAATTTTTTCAAAAAAAAAATATATTTTGACGTAGAGTATGTGTGCTCGCCAGAGAGACACAGAGAGAAGGAAAGTGAGAAATCAGCCCTCATGGGAGATGGCCACCCACAATCCCTTCTCCATTTGCTGCTTGTCATTTTAATCACACATGCACAAGTGGCTGGCTTGGTTTTCAAGCTGCTGGGTCCAGGACTCAAACCATAGTCAGCCATGTGGGAATCTAGCACCTTAGCCACCATGCCACCTTCTGGCCCCAGTCTGTTTTCCTTGTAAAGTTCTTCATAGGTATGAATATATTAACCCTAAAAGTACAGATTATTCAAGTCACTTTTTAAATACCTAAGTTTTAACTCTAGCTTATAGAAAATGAAACCAGAAAACAAAGACAATGCATTTGGGTATAGTTTACACAAGTTGACCTGGATCTCAAACTGGTGTATTCATGATCATACTGCATTCCATCACATGAATAAACCTTTATACATTCTATGTTAGCATTTTTTTAGAGAGGTTTTTGCTAGAGGGCATGTGTACTTGCTGAAGAGACGGAGACAGAAAGCCAGAAATCACACCACAGGGAATGGCCACACTGCAATCCCTTTTCCTTCATTCTCCCCTCAGGATCTTGGGCACACACATGCCTAGAGTGAGTTTTAAGTCACTGGGTCCAGGACTTGACACTCAGTCGACTCGTGGGAATCCAGCAACATAACCATTACATCATCTGCTGGTCCCCATTTTGTGCTAGAATTTAATACTTGAAGAACTTCTTTAAAAAGCTCACCTTTATGTCTTTCCAAAGCATAACTTTTTCTGTCTTTTTGCATTCATATTTTACTAGTTGATATAATACTTAATTATATTTTGTGATCACAGTAAGAACAACAGTCGTAAACAGTGTAGAAACAGATGCAGTGAGCTCTGAGCAGGTGTCCAGCGACGTGGCTGGGAGCAGACGTGCACTGAGGCTAGCTTGTGGCCACCATTGTTCAGTGTGCTGTGGGTCATATGCAGATGCATGGTAATATGGTGAATTGCTTAAGTGGGGGCCCATGTAGGGAACTATTGTGTTCATAATAAAAAGACTTTGCCACTATTTAATTGAGCTATGCTAGATAATGAAAAATTAAAAGATCCAAACAGCTTACTAAGTTTTTGACATTATCACTTAGAAGAAAGTATTGAGGCCTAAAGCAATGTCTACCTCTGTCCATTTAGAGGTTTCTTACCTCTCTTCTGTTAATCTATGCCATAGCTGAACAGTATATGGGATCTTAATGATTAGATCTTTAGATATGTAGGGTATTAATGATGTACCAGATTCTAGACCTGGAATGGGTAAAGAAAAATCCTAGAGTAAAATAATGGGCTATGCCAAGAGTATAGCAAATGTAACAAAAAATAATCTCCTTAATTATTTTTCTTTGTCTTTTTCTAGGCAATTGACAGCATTCATCAAGTGGGAGTTTATTGTCTTGCTCTGGTGCCTGCCAACACATTGCCAAAGACTCCACTGGGAGGGATCCATATATCTCAGACAAAGCAGCTCTTCCTGGAGGGATCTCTACATCCTTGCAATATCCTCATGTGCCCACATACATGTGTGACGAATTTGCCAAAACCCCGGCAAAAGCAACCAGGTAATATGCTTCTTTTTTTTGGGGGGAGGGGGTTTGCTATAGGGCACATGTGCTCACCAGAAAGACAGAGAGACACAGAAAGCGAGAAATCACCCCCCAGGGGGGATGGCCATGCCATAATCCCTTCTCTTCCATTCTCCTCTTGGAATTTTGGGTACGCACGTGCTCAAACCATGGTCAACTACATGGGAGTCCAGCGACATAGCCATTACGCCATCTGCTGGTCCCAATATGCTAGCTTCTAAGACATAACATTAAAGGTGTGATTTTAAGAAGCTAAGTTCTCTCATCATGTTTCTTACTCTAAAATTAGACTTTACAAAGACTAGTAACATCAGCCTAGCATTAGCTGATCAAAAAGCAAGCAGGATAGAAGCCCCACAGATTAGGCCTCTTTGGGTTTATTGCTATTTCCTTCTGAGTATTTCTTAGTAGTTTGCATCTGTTTCTGCTGCAGATAAGGTGTAGGTCAAGATGGTTGGAATTCTACTTGTAGAACTAGAATACAGTAAGTCCTGTGAGGGAGGGTTCTGAGAGTAGCTAGTATGTGTAGTCTTCAAAAAGGAAAAGACTTCAAAATTAGAAAACATGTTGGGGCCAACAAGTGGCATAGTGGTTAAGGGCCCTGGACTCCCACATGGCCAACCATGGTTCTAGTCCTGGACCTGGCAGCTTGCTTTTTCACCCCCCCTTCCCCTTGCTCTTTCACTCTGTCCCTCTCTGGTCAAAATTAAAGTAAATTAAATAAATAAAGTTAAATAAAATAAATCTTTAAAAAAATAGAAAGCATCAGGGACCAACAGGTGGCATGGTGGTTAAGGCGCTGGACACTCCCACATGGCCGACCACAGTTTGAGTCCCGTATCTGGCGACTTGTTTTCCCACTTTCCCTCTGTTCTCTCTCTCTCTCTGTCTGTCTCTCTCTGGTCAAATTAAAATAAATTATTGAATAAATAAAATTGAGTAAATAATTCTTTAAAAAATAGAAAACATGTATTATGGGAAAACTATGTATAGACTTCAAAAATTTTTTTGAACTAAAATGAACTCATTCTCATTGCATTTTTCCATAAACTTTTTGAAGTACCCTTGTGTTTCTTGAGTGCTCACTAAATGACAAATACTAGCTAAGCGTTTTACATATGTGATCCTAAAGCTTTGTCCCCAGCTGTAGAAAATAAAGTTCAGAAAAATTAAATATGACGACAGTAGTCATACAGTGGCAGAACTGAGATTCATAATAACTGTGACTAAGATCCGTTCTTAATCATCATCTGCCATTCTGTTGGCAGTCTTTACCTAGAGTCATCCCTTACTCCTTTTTAGTTGAGGTCTTTTTTTTTTTAAGAGAGATTTTTACTATAAGGGCACATGTGCTTGCCAAAGAGACAGAGAGACAGAAAGCAAGAAATCAGCCCCCGGGGGAATGGCCACACTGCAGTCCGTTCTCCTCTATTTTCCTCTCGGGATTTTGGGAACACATGCACACTACCCTGACGGGAGTTTTAAGTCACTGGGTCTGGGACTCAAACCGCAGTCGACTATGTGGGAGTCCAGCAACCTACCCAATACGCCATGTGCTGGTCCTTTAGTTTGGGGTCTTATTTGTGTGTAACACTTGCGTTTTTTTGTTGTTGTTGTTTTTGTTTCTGTTTTTGTAATTTACTAGAAGTTCTATGTGCTCAATAGAGGGAAATGGAGAGAAAGGGACAGTGAGAAAGCACCCCCCACGGCCCATGGTCATACCATAGTTTCTTCTCCATCTCTCCTGTCAAGAATTTAAGGATGCATGATGCACATGCCCCCTGTGCTTTTCAGTCAATCTGGTTCAGGACTTGAACAGTGTGGTCAGCTATGTGGGATCCAGCTACCTTAACTCCCAGGCCAGGGGAGCAAGATATTTTTTTTAAAAAATTTTTAGAGTTTTTGCCATACATGCTCATGTGCTCACTGAGGAAAGACAGAGATGGGAGGAGTGAGAAATCACCCCCCAGGGGGATGGCCACACTGCTGATCCTTCCTCCTCCATTCTCCCCTCAAAAGTTTGGCCATGTATGCACACACGCCTGGTGTGATTTTGAAGCTGCCAGATCTGGGACTGGAACTGTGTGTGACCATGCGGGAGCCTAGCACCTTAACCCCTATGCCACCTGCTGGCCCCAAGGAGCAAGATATTTAATTCAGAAATGTTTTAGATCTTTAGCACAAGATAAACATTATGCCTTCAACTGAGAGTATACTTATTGCCATTTGTAAAAGCAAATAGTCAATTTTACCTTTTTGCTTAATTTCTGGGCACACCTAGATTACAGGGCTGAGTAGGAAGCTACAGATAAGAATAACTGATGGATAATTAGTCATCCTCAAATGTCTGTTAAATCCAGTGTTGAGTCATTAAGTTTTATTGATGTTTTATCTTCTTTTCTTTTTTCTTTTAAGGTTTTTGCCATAAGGAGTGTGCGCTTGTCAGAGAGAAGTGCGAGGGAAAGTGAGATGTCACCCCTGAGGGGGGGTGGCCATGCCGCAATCCATTTTCCCTTCTCCTGGGATTATGGGCATACATGTGCACGTGCCTGGCATGATTTTCACGTCTCCAAGTCCAGGACTCTAGCTGTAGTCAGCCATGTGGAAGTTCACTGCCTTAATCACTATGCTACCTGCTGGCCCCTTTTTAAGGTTTTGGTATAGAGTGTGTGCACTCACTAAAGAGACAGAGAGATTAGGTGGGAAAGGGAAAGTTATGACATGAACGAGCTTCGCCGTAGGGTGATCACTGCTGCGGTCTGGTGGCTGAAGACCGTATCACGTATTAATCTATGCTGTTGTCAGTTTATCTGATTAATCATGTGGCGTGACGTGTCAGTTTCTGGTAATGGAAATAAGAGTTCGTGTTAGTTAATACTCTGAAACGGCAGTCCAAATCAAGCTGCCTGTGTGTTATTAATCAAAACATGTACGAAAGGAAGTATTTTCAAACACATTACCTACCTAACCATATGACAGACATATAAAAAACACAAATTCCTCTCTGTCTTAAATTCTGTCCCACTGAACTCCTAAAGTCATATTAAAATATCCTGAGATGAACAGTTGGCGTAATGGCTATGTCGCTCCCATGTAGTCAACTGCAGTTTAAGTCCCGGATCCAGTGGCTTAAACTCATGCCGAGCACATGTGCATGCGTGGTCAAGATCCCAAGAGGAGAATGGAAAAGAAGAGATTGCAGTGTGGCCATCCCCCTTGGGGAGTGATTTCTTGCTTTCTCTCTCTCTGTCTGTCTCTGTCTCTCTGGCGAGCGCACGCACCCTAGTTTAAAAAAAAAATCCTGTTTACTTTTTTTAGGACCTTTTTTTTGCTATAGGGTACGTGCGCTCACCAGAGACACACACAGAGAGTCAGTGAGAAATCACCCCCCCCCGGGGGGGATTGCCATACTGCAATCCCCTGTCCTCCACCTTCCTCTCGGGGTTTTGGCCATGCACACACATGTACAATCCTGACATGAGTTTCAAGCTGCCAGGTTGAAACCATAGTTAGCCATGTGGGAGTTCAGCACTTTAACCACCATACCATCTGCTGGCCCCTGTTTAATTTTTTTATTTTAATTTTTTAAATTGTCAAAGGGTATGTAGCTTTGTCAGAGAGACAGAGAAGGAGAAAGCAGTTCTTTTCTTTTCTTTTTTTTTTTTTGAGAGGTTTTGCTATAG